ACTTATGCTGTATCAATCAGAGCACTTGTCTGTCTTTTCAGAAGCAGGTGGCAGGCTTCATCATGTCTCTTCCTGATCTGTAGAGCTCTTGTTGAAGTTTTGTCTTGTTTTTAAATCGTGCATGTGAGGTGCATGTGCGTATGTGTGTATGTTCATTTATACGTGTGCTTATGTGGCCATGAGTGTGTGGAGGTTGGAGGGCAATCTTGGGTGTGGCTCCCTTCCATTTGGGTTAAGAGGAGGCCTCTAGTTCACCTCTGCCTTTCTATGTTAGGCTGGCTGGACTTCAAGCTTCCAGGGACTTCCTTGTCATCTCCTATCAGGCTATAGGAGGGCTGAGGTTACACTCACACTATCGGGTCCAGCTTTATGTAGGTTCTGGGCATCTGAACTCAGATCCCCACGCTTGCACAGCAGGACTTTACCCATTGAGCCACCTTCTGAGTCCTTCTTAGGGGTGTCTGTGACACCTGAAATCCTAGCACTCAGAAGGTGGAGTCAGGAGTCCAAGGTTATCTTTGGTCACACATTAGACTTCCAGGCCAGCCTGGGCTACATGAGACTCTTATCCCCCCCTCACTCCCCCCCCAAAAAAAGGACAAAAGTCAAAAGAGCATCAAAACATTCTCATTTCTTTAGCCCTTTGTCTCAGAACAGGCAAGTTTCAGAAAGAAGCTGAGGTCTAGCCCCAACAGGACTTCGGGGCTGCCTCACTGTCACCCCTGTGTGTCCCCATCAGGGAATCGTGTGCTTCACAGCAGAACAGTCCTCCCTTGTTCCTTTCAACTGTAACAAGAGCAGCATGCCAAGAACAGACTTGCCTGCTCTGCAGTCTTCCCTCTGCCTCTGGAGGTATGCTTTCTGAAGTGTGCCTTCGCCTCTCCCACATACGCACTGAAGCTGCAGCAGGATTGTGACAAAGAAGCCCCTGAGTCCTCAAGAACAGTGTGGAACATGGACAGCTGCCCCCTCACTCCTGTCTGAGCTTGGCAGCCAGGGACACTGGGACAGCTAGAGTGGATTGCTGCATAGGATCTGGTTTATAGGATATTAAATTCCTCTTTGCCGTTCACATTCCTGCAAACCTAGAACTCAGAAGACTAAGTTAGGAGGAGTACAAGACCAGTCTCTGTGGCATAGTCTCAAAAAATAAATCTGCTTTCTCTAAAACATCCCTCCCCACTGGCAGGAGACTCTTTCCTTTGGAGGAAACTTCTGGAGGCTCCAAGTGTCTAGGCTAAGATTAAAGTGTGTGTGTGTGTGTGTGTGTGTGTGTGTGTGTACATGCTTGTAGGTGTGCGGGCACATGTGTGTGGAAGTCAGAAGTAGACCCAGGTGTCTACCACTGGTCAGTCAGCTCTAGGAATCTTCTTCCTGCCTTTGCTCCATCTCCCCAGTGCAACAGTTATGGGGTTCATGGCTGTCTTAGTTAGGGTTTTAGTTCCTTGGTATGATCAAAGCAGCCTGGAGAGGAAAGTGTTTACCAGGCTTACACACCCCAATTCACAGTCAATCAGGGAAAACCAAGGCAGGAACTTCAGACAGAGCTGAAGCAGAAGCCTTGGAGTGGGGGCTGCTTACTGGCTTGCTGCTCATGACTTCTTCAGCCTGCTTTCTTACACATCCTGTTCCTGGGTGCCACCACTCACAATAGACTGAATCCCTCCCAACCACCCCATGTTGTTAATCAAAGCAGCACTCCGGGTCAGTGTTACAGAGGCATTTTCTCGATTAAGAGTCCCTCTCCCCAACTGTGTCTATGTTTGTGTCAAGTTGATAACAACAAACAAACAAACAAACAAACAAAAACAACCCACACAATCACCATGATTTTAGCCAGGGGCTTGGGCTCCAAACTCAGGATCTCTGGCTTGCAGGGTAGGCACTTACCTGCTGACTGAACCTCCTCAGCCTTGATACAGAGACATTCTAACAAACGGAGTAAAAGAAAGCTTTGCACAGCGGCAGCATTATAACCAATCAGGTTTATCCATGGTGTGATTATTGCTAGTTGGAAAATGTCCCCCCTTCAAATGAGGTAATCGAAGTCGTGAGGAAATGTATATAGAATACGAGTGAGGTAACCATACGAGTGAGTTAGCCATGCTTGATTGAGAGGATTTGTGTTTTGAGGATAAAATTAGAGGTCCTTTGAGATGGGGGAAGGGAGAAACTTGGTAGTAAACAAACGATACTATTGTCCATTTGCAACAGTTTCCAAACACTGGGCCTGTGGGTTACCTAGTCGGAGGACAGAGGGCCCAGAAAGAGCTCCCAAGAGTCTCTGCGGCTTTGTGTCTTGCTTCTCCTCCACTCCATTGTGAGAAGCTACGGCCCAGGGGAACAGAGCACCCCCACCCCGCCTAAGGACCTGAGAAATGCAGAGCGGCATTTGCTATCGTCTCTAATAATGCTTCTTTTGGTTGTTGGTGGGAAGGCATAATGAAGATTGAGATACTGTGTGCAGGCTAACCTTTGCCTAGAGCAGCTTTCCTTACCCCTCCCCCGACACAGATCGCAGTATGATCTATTTCCCCCTTTCTCTTCCCTTTTCCTGACCAGGAGAAGAAACCAGTTGAATACACAAATACAGTCCTTCTGTAAGACACTCCAGAGACAGTTTCCCAGCTAATTGGCATCTACATGGTTTTTAGCTTTTGATGGCCAGGTCCAATCTTACTACAGCCTGTGTCCTCTGTAGTCTTTCTGAATTCCTTTTGCTCTCCAAATTAGTTGCATGTCATTTCAGACTTTTTGAATATGTCTGAGTCCTTTCTTTCCCATATTGTATATGCTCATCTTGCTTTTGAGTTCCATTGATAAGCTATTTTAGGTCAATGATTGTATCAAATTCTTCAGGATTCCCAATTGCTCTCATCATGGAAAGTATATAGCACATACTTGATAAATGCCCTTGAATTAAACAGCTGGGATCTGATATTAAAGTAAAGCCATTCAATGCTGCAAAGAGGCAATAGCAGCCTGGAAATGTCCATGCTTTCATGCAACAGAAGCAACACGAATGTATTTCTTATTCGTGTAAGGCTGTGTGCACATTGGAAAGTCTCTTTTCTGCCTAGCGACTAGGAATCCAGACTTCTCAGGCTGGAGACCCAATGCTGTCACCTGGATATTGGAAAAGGGAAGGGAGGGGGAAGACTGTCTCAAGCATCTGAAGTCACTTCTTTTGAGATTTCTGTCAATTGAGAATTAGTGTCAAGACCAGATTCCAGCCATGAAAGAGAGCAGGCTGTGCAGGATACATAGGGACATCCAGGTGTGACAGTTATCCATGCTACATCTTTATACTATACCGATGGGTTAGTTATCTAGTTAGTTAGCTGTCTAGTTAGTGCCTCCTTAGGTTCACTCATGTGGATTGTGAAATTTGTTTCAGTGTGTGTTAGACACCGGTATCCAAAACTGCTAGGATTCATAATTTGTTTAAACAGGCATTTATTTAGTGCTGACTGTATACTAAGTACTATTTTAGGTCTTTGGAAAACCATAGAGGAAAAGAGTCAGAGTTTTCACACTTCCAGGACTACATTTCTACAGAAAGATAATAAAGTAATAACGCAGAGTATATCAATTGGCAACAAACATTGGAGAGGTGTACATGGGGTCTTGAACCGGTACTGGTGTGAGGAAGCAGCTTAGAGTCCTGTTTTAAATGGAGAAATCAAGAACAATTCACTGTAAAGGTGACATGGAGATGGGAGCCATTCCAGGGTCAAGGCAAAGAGCCCTGCTGTTGACGGGAGTATCCACAGATTTCAGAATGGGGTAGGGTGGAGAGGTCAGGATACCTGGTACAATTGTCAGGTGACAAGGAGACCAGGGTGGAGACAGCAGGCACGCAATTGGAGGAGACAGAGGTAAGGTTTCAAGCCCGTTGAGTACAGACCAGGGACAGCCTTGTATGCCTTTGCCCTATGACATAAGAAGCAGATGAAGTTTGGGATCTGAAGAATAATACTGCCATCTGTAATTATTTTGGGCTTAGACTTTGGGGCAAGGACAAAAACAGAGAGACAGTTATTGCTAAAATGAGAGGCAATGGTGGCTTGAGCCATTTCTATCAACTCCTCCCAAAGTTGAAGAGTGACACTTTGTTTGTATTTATTTAATCAATTTATTCTTTTGAGACAAAGTCTCATGCCATCCAGGCTGGTGTTGACCTTGATATGTAGCTGATGATAACCTTGAACTTCTCCTTCTAACTCCCACATACTAGGCTCGCTGGCATGTGCCAGCAAACCTAATTTATGCAGTGCTGGGGACTGAATCCAGGGCTTCAGAAATGCTAACCAAGCACCCTACCAAGGGGGCTGTGTCCTTGCATGGAGAGATTCACACTGAAGGGGGGAATGTATGCACAAACTTGAGCACCTTTTGTTAAGAAGATGTTCGCATATGGCTCTAACTACAACTTCTTACTGTCTCAGTTCTGGTACCCTATTGTCTCATCAATCCACTGATTTAGGAACTATTTCTCCAGGACCAGCTGCCTCCAGAGGCCAACTATTTAGACCTGTGTTCTACTTTTTCAGAAACGCAACAGGGTAGGGCACACACACAACACCCAGTAGCATCACTTACAGGAAGAGAAACTGTTATAGAAACATTATCCAGCAGCACCCACTAACTGCTGTTAGTTATCTGTGCAAGGCATGTCTTTGGGTACAATGAGGATGAGGACACATTTGTTGTCATTATTATGACTTGATGTTTTCTTTATAACCAAATGGCACCCATAAAATACACAGAAAATCATATTTAGCTGTCTCAAAACGTTATTCCTGTGTTCTGTCATCTATCAGCATAAAGGATTCTGCCAGTTCAGTACCTATCTACAAGTCATCTCTGAAAACAACAATGCCTGTTTCACTGTTAATAAACATTACTGGACCTCAGGCTCATTGATTGGCAGACACTTACGTCCTCTTTGGTACATTCATTGCATTTCCTTCCTTTTCTTTTAATTATCTACTCCAAAGAACATTGAACCGAAGGCACTGCTCAGCTCCCAAGATGGTGCCACTCAAACTGCATGTGCTTTTCTGCCTCCTCTGCTGCCTCCCACGGGTGCATCCTTTTCACTGGCAAGACCTGTCTTCTTTTGACGTCAGGCCATCAGGTAAGAGGCATCAAACTCCGAGTGACTTCAAGATGTTGCATGTTTTGATGTGTGAGAAAGCCTTTTTAAGAAGTGTCCATGCAGGGACTGGGGGGATGGCCCCGGTGATAAAGTACCCACTATGCAAGCATGAGGTCCTGAGTTGGGATCCCCATCACTGATGTGAGACGCTTTCAGCGTTATGGGGTGGGGAATAGAAATGGGAGGATCCCTGGAGCTTATTGGAAAATCATCCTAGATGATTTAATGTGCTTCAGCTTTGGTGAGAGACCCTGCCTCAAAAAAGCACAGATGGAGGATGGTCAAGGAAGACACTGAGTCATTGATCTCTGGTTCCTACGGTCATGTACACACATATGCATGTGCACCTGCTCATTGACCTCCAGCTTCTATGGTCATTGTACACACATGTACACTTGAATATGCATGCCCATGCTAACAAGCACTTACAACACACACACACACACACACACTCACACACACACACGGGAACATATGTATTCAGGGGAATCTTTGTTCTGGGGTAGGGAGGATCTCCACACTTCATTCTTTACAACTCCTCAAAGAAACTCAAAGAAAAGGAATGTAACACATAGGTTGTCAGCTTGCTATGACCATGGAAAAACGCTTTCGACACTTCCTTCTCCTCCCCTCCTTCACAACCCTAGTTTAACTCCTGCCAGGTACGAGACCATACTTGCCTTGGAGCTTACAAGACAGTCTTCAACGCTGCTCCATGAAGGTAGGGTGGTCTTGTGTCTTGACAAGCAAACCTAGTCTGTGGAGGTGAAGAGGCTTGTGAGAAGATGACAGTCTGGACTCTTGAGGTCCAAAGGGCCACGACCGTTCCTACCTGACAATGAGGAGAAGCAGAGGCAAGTAGTTGCTTGGACCTCCAGAAGAGAATGGCCTTGGTCATTTTCTCTCTTCATTGTGTTAAGGGGAGAATATAAGAGGACGATGACTTAGATAATATAAGAATGAGTAGCCAGTGTGGGGACATCTAGTGCCACCAAGAAGGGCCTATGTTGCAAAGATATTGCTTCTGGAGCACTGTGAATACCTGTTCATCTTAAAGAACTGTGACACACATGGGTTTCAGTCTCTGTCCTGTGGAGATCACAGCAGGAGGTGGCTTGAGAATGATGTCACACCATCTACACCCACAGATCTGCACACATGGATGGATGTACTCATGCCATATCTAGTTGCTAGGTTTGTTGAGTGACTCTTTACCACAGCATCTGCAAAAGGGCTTGGGTAACTCAGTGTCATGGATGTAACCTTTGCCCTATTTTATATTTGAGGAAATGCAAGAATCAATAGGAAAGGGGTTGGACCTTATGGTGATATTTACACAGGTAATTGAATAATATTTCAGGGTCCATTCATCCCTCAACACTTCCCAGGAAGCAAAGACACCACGGATATGGTGGTGACTAAGGTGCTGGAGCTTGTAGTCAGAGAACCTATGACCTACTTGAAATGAAGTCCATCTTTCGAAATTGTATTGTCAGGGGTTGGAAACAGGTCACACAATGGGTCACTTATCATCCAGGGTACATTTTATATTATTGACTCTTATTGGTGCAGGGTGAAATTTTAAAGATGTGTTTTTTACCCTCATTTTAAAACATCACTGGAAATCTAGGAACAGGGTTATTGATAATTCATCTCCCTTGGTCTTGTGTTAATGCTATAGTTAGTTTAGCTGTTCAGAAGTGGATACATGAGTATTTTAAAAGTTATAATGAATAGTTTAAAACTATAGGTAATTATTATTTATAATTTATTAAGTGGATAATAGAAAATGTAGCTATTAAGGTTGTAATTTATTTAATTTGTGAGTATGTGGGTTTGTGTTATAAGTGCATGTGTGTCTGTGAGTGTCCATGCTTGTATACACAGGTGGAAGCCAGAGGAAAATGTCCAGTGTCCTGTTCTATTACATTCTACCATATTGCCTTGAGACAAGGTCTCTCACTGAACCTGAAATTAGGTTGACAGCCAGCAACCAGAGGAACACTTCTGTCTACCCATCACAGGACCAGGGTTTCAGCTCTGTGTAGCCATGCCTAAGTTTTTATGTGGTGCAGATTTAAACTCAACTTTCCATGTTCATGCAACAAGTACTTTTACCCATCAAACCATTTCCCCATACACTTCATATGGCTGTCTGAGACAGCTTTATATAGCCCAGACTGACCTCTAGGTCACTATGTAGTAAAGACTGGCCTTGCAGTATTTATCCTGTTGTCTCCTATTCACAAGCACTGGTATTACAGGCCTGTGCTGCTGTGCCTGGAAAGGCTTCCAAGTATGGGCTAGAGATACTTCTTATATTGATGAAGGAAAATAAAAATATTTTTTTAAAAATGCAATTTTTTCCTAGAATGTGTACATCTCAAGACTCAGGAATATTTGACTACCAAAATTATATACTGATCAGTATCCTATAGGGTCTAAAGTTTCTATTCAAATAAAGTTGAAGAAGACCTTTTCTGTACCCAGTGTGGTACCTTGACTCCTAAATTCTAGGTGACCAGATTCCTAAAGTAGAGAAGGTTTTGGAGATCCATAGGTTATTAGAAGAGGTTCCCTTAGTTTCAGTGGAATTACAATCTCACAAAAGGGGAGGTTCATTTGTGTGCTCTGGAACTCTGCTGACAAGTTAGGGTCTCCAAGGTAGCTAAGAGTTCTCTGGAGCCCCTCCCTGAACTGTGAGAGCCAGTGGTCTCTCCCTGGTCTAGCCCTGGCTGGCTGCCAACCACAGAAGGCAAGGCAGAAGGCGTTGCCTACCCTGTTACTCTCTAGACATGTCACCTCCCAGTTACACCAAGTCTGACTCCACAAGTAACCTGAAGTGGGAGCAGAAGAACCTTTTGTAATTCTAAAGAAGGCCTAGAATGTTCACCAACAGGAGGAAAAAACCCCCACAACTTTGAGGAAATGCTATGAATTTCAAATGGTCCCTGGAGAAGTGTGGAAACTGTGGTATAGATCTGCTAAACCTTTCTAAGGATTCCTCAGCCTCTGGGTTGTGAGGCTTCCCAAGCTCTGGAGAAGGAAGGAAGTCATGGCAATTGACTGCTAGTTACATAATACAGTTGGTGTTAAGCCCACAATGAATACACTTGCGTCATCCGTCTTTATCCTCATGGCTGTCCTGCAGCCTGGTTAAGAACTTTGGTGTCCCACTTCACCAGTGAGCACCAGAGGGAGAGAAGAGTTAAACTGCTTAGGCCAGATCACCATAATTTGGTATCTGAAACAGGACCATCTGGATCCAATACTGGGCTCCACTCTGCTTACCTTCTGTCTTTCCTGAAATTGCCTCTTATCACTGCTTTACCCATGTGGCAGGCCAAGAGATTTGGGCTGCGACACAGCATTTCTTCACCTTGAATCAGCCTACTTTGAATCTTTTTTATTCAGTTGAATTAAGACCAGGAGTGTTGGGAAAATTTAAAAAGGCCACCACGGCGGCCGCAAGCTTGCGCCGCCTTGGCGGGTCCCACATCAGGGAGGAGGATTCTTATGGTTCCAGTGGCCTGAGGGCCTTGGCGGCGGCAGGCCCCAGTAACACGAGGAAGTCCTTGGTTCCAAAAAGGTTTATTGTCATGGCGGATAATAGATGGATCTAGGCGTACCCCCCAAAAACTCAGGGCAGTCCCGAGTTATATAGGGAGAAAGAAAGGGGGAGGATTGGGGGAGGATCTGGGGGAGGAATGTTTAATTTGCTCTGTCCTCTGGCCTTCATTAGTATGTAAATCTCTAGGGCCTGAGGCCTATAGCCTGGCCTATGTGACTCTATGGAAATGTGACTGTTTTCAGGATCCTAGATAATGGGAGGGACCGAACTCCTGCCGGTTCTCACGCAGAATTCCACGGAGAATCTCGGGGTTCTAAGTACCTGCTCAACCATGACCCATGATACCCTTATGCAGTCCCACACAGGAGTCTGCATTTTTTTGATGTGATCCTTTAATTGGATAACTTTAATTGTTAATTGTTAACTTTATTTTTTATTGGATATTTTATTTATTTACATTTCAGATGCATCCCCCTTTCCCCATTTTCCCTCTCTAGAAAACCCCTACCCCATCCCCCCTCCTCCTTTTTGCTTTTATACCATTTTAATTACATGCAAGTGTTAAGGTCAGTTCTAGGTTGAGGAACTAGCAATATAATAGATGCAAATAGTCAAGGAACAAGCAAGACAATAAACACAAATAGTCAAAGAACAAGCAAAGCAATAAACAAAGTTCCGTGAACACTCCCATGATCACTGTTTCTAAGGGCTTATCAGGATGACCAAAATATCTGAGCCTACTAGCCCAGAGTCATGTTCATGTCTGAAGCCTACTTCCTTGTTCTAGTCTAAAATTTAGATTCCTGCCTGAAATTACTTCTTTGTTCTAGCCTGAGTCTACATTTCTAAATCCCTAGGTGATGGCTGTGATGCTGGCCTGAGGATCGGGTTTGTGTAGGAGGCCTTATGTATTGAAAGCCTCTCTCATGGACTGGTCCTCCACAAATGAATCATCCGTGGAGGATGTGAATAAGATTGTTGCCAAAACTCAAACCCTTGCTGAGCAATGATGCATGATGCTGATGCTGGTGCCACACCTCACATAGCTCCGGGTGTTTGGCAAACGCTGTGCTGCAGAGCAATGTTGGGGGCCGGCTCAGTGTATCAGGGAAAGAAGGAATCTGGACGTATGGTTATTTGAACCTAACACCTAAAAGTAAAGCATGGTTTGATGGAGGTCTAGAAAGGAAGGTGGTTACAGGTATATGGAAGGGTTTGGGGTTCAGATAAGTGTGGACAGATCGAAGAACGCATGTGGTGGGGTTGAAGGAAGGACAAAGGAGGTTGGTGGTGTTTCAGCTAAATTCTCCTTCCCACAAAATTATTTTGAGCCTGGTGTGTCAGAGGCTATGTTTAGACTAGGAGGGTCAGGTCCTGAGCAGTAGCTGCTATCGTTCTTGGCATCGTGTAATATTTCACACATACCTGAAGGAATTCTTCAGAATTCCTGATTCTGAAGAAGAAATGATTACGTCTGGGATCCGGATTATTCCAAACTAAGGACAAGTTATAGAGACTGTGTAGAGACATGTTTGCCTCCCAGGGTTCTAGCCTGGAATTCATAAGATAAAGAATTCTAGAATTTGGGGGTAAAACTGGACAGTTAGAGTGAGAAGAGGGGGTTGGGAGGAGGGGGATGGTCATCTTGGACCATTGGCTTTGATAATGCCTTGGAAAGATGTCAGGTCCAGATGCACAAGAAGTGTAAGCATGCTCGCCTAATCTACAGAGTGAGTTTCAGGACAACCATGGCTGCACAGAGAAACCCTGTCTCAAAACACACACACACACACCACACAGAGTGTAGACACTAATCTGAAGTGTGAGATGAAGTTCATATGCAACATAGAAAAAAAAACATATGTAAGTCATGCTTCATACACCTTGTATAGAAATAGAATTTGAAGACAAGTCTCTGTGGTGATCTCCCAAGCGTCTTGTCAGCAGATGTATGTATACCTCCATCTTGTTTTATTCTCAAAAGTCTCTTGTATGTTTCGTAAAAGCAGGCCCTTGAGTAGGGTGAGAAATGAGAGAGTGCTGGAGACATGACTCAGTCAGTAATGTTCCTGTCACACAGGTATGAAGATGAGGGTTCAGAGAGACAGGACCCATGTAAAATCTGGATGTCTGTCTATAACCCCTGGTGCTGTGTGTGTGTGTGCGCACGCAGAAATTCATGGAGCTTATTGGCTTGTCACCCAGCAATGAGCTTTGGGTTCAGTGAGATTCTGTCACCAAAAAAAATGAGGTGGAGAGCAACTGAAGAAGACAGAAAACATAGACTAGACCTTTGGCCGCCATAGACACATGCACAAATGGAAACACACACAGACACACACACACACACACACACACAGAGAGAGAGAGAGAGAGAGAGAGAGAGAGAGAGAGAGAGAGAGAGAGAGAGAGAGAGTCAGAAACTATGAGTAGTACTTCATTGCCTTGGAACTCCTAGCACCTAGTCTTAGGTAGACAGGGTTACTACCATGGGTTTACATGAAATTCCATGCACCTGTTTTTCAGTAATGTTTCAAAAGCTCCAATCGGTGATGTCTGCTGCCAGCTCTGGCCATAGTAAATTCCCCAAAGGAAATGGATCTTATCCGGTCGGTTGTACAGACCTGATGTTCGGTTATGGGAACGAGGTAAGGCCCTACTTCTCCTTAAATCCTAAGGGCTGGTTCTTGCTTTCTAGCATAGGTGATAGTGTGACCCTGCTGTCTCCCGAGGATGACTAATTGGCCACCCCTGTTGCAACAGCTTTTGCTACTGTGCCATTCCTCAGTTGCCTATTGTCTCCTGATTAATTTACCAGTAAATTTTATTTTTTTCTCAGATTTTTCTTCTACTCAGAGCATCATTATCCCATCTTCTCTTTTGTAGTTATATCCAGTCACCCAGCAGTTTGTACACTTCCCTAGACCTTTTAGGAAAAGACAGGGATCTGGACCCTCGTAATAAAATATCGAAAGTGCTGCACTTGCTGGACTGCATTTTACTGAGACTCGGCTCATTTTTTTTTTCCAACAGAGCATCTTCTTGCGTTTGTACTACCCAGCTCAAGAGCAAGGTCGCCTCGACACTGTTTGGATCCCAAACAAAGAATATTTTGGGGGTCTTAGTATATTTCTTGGAACACCCAGTATTGTAGGCGATATTTTGCACCTCTTATATGGTAAGGTTTCTATTGGTCCTGGTGTGAAGTTACATGCATATCTATCTGTATTTGCATACGTATATTTTAGAAACAAGAGTTACAGGTAGTAAGACTGAGGTAAATTTTCTAAGATGGTAAGGGTGGGATTTCTTTTCTTTCTTTTTTCTTCTTTTAAACTGTGTATAGGTGTGTTCTTACACACACGAGTGTACATTCCTGTGAAGTCCTGAGGTATTATTTCTCAGAAACATAGTCCACCCATTTCCCATGAGGCCAGGTCTGTCAGTAGCCTGGGGCTGGCCAGTTAGGCTAGGCTGGCTCATAAGCAAGCCCCAGGGAGCCTCCTGGCTCTAACTCCCCAGCACTGGGCTCACAGTTGTGTGCTTGGTATTCTTATAGCACCACATGCAAGGCAAACACTTTTCAAGTTGTGTGATCTCCCTAGCCAGAAAGACAGGATTTCTTAAGGAATTAGGCAACTCTGAGAGAAGCAAAGGTACTTTATCGCTATACATCCAGATTTTAATGGATGGGATGAGGGTGTCAGATTTGTCTTAACATCTTATGCCTGACCCTCCCTTCCCCTTCTTCTGCCTTGTGGTGGAAGCCACAATGTGCTCCCCTCTGTCCAAAAGCAAGTGCCCTCCTTGGCATTCCCTGTTCCTCTCTAGGATCCAGAAGGCCCACTTCCTCCTTGCCCAGTGATTGGCTTCTTGTCCTCTTTATTATTCAATCAAATAGGGGAGAATTCCTCTACAGTGGTCAGAGTGGCGAATTTTCTGGTGGGGACCATTGATTGCCCCATACTTTTTGTGTCCGAGGAAGATAGAAAATAGATGCCAAGCCAGGCAGCTAACTTCCACTCACCACAAGCGAAGGCCTCACCTTGTGCCCATCCCCCGTTCCCAAAGGATCTACTTCTCTCCTCCAGTCTTTGGCAGTCATCATTTACCTTGTCTGCATTATGGCCACGGGAGACTTCCCGTTCCTAACATCTGGTAGATCAGGTGTGAATCTGAGCGTATGCAAATTACACTTTCCAGTACATCCTTCAACCTTGTCAGCTTTGGGAATTCATTTTAAGCTTATCTTAGAGTTTTCACAGAAAATTGCTTTAAAAACGGGAAAACATCCTAAAGTAGAAAACACTACTGTGTGGTATAGAGCCATCTATATATAAGTCACTTCCATAGCAACCGTCACGGTCAGCCTTCGTGACCGAATTTTTGTTTGCGATAAGAAAACAGCATACAAATGATCAGAACAATGATGTTAACAATTTAGTCCCTTAGTGAACTTAGTCCCTTAGTCTCCCTTAGTGAACGAAGGGAGGCTATGTTTTCCAGCTTTGAGCTGCTTCCTAGGCAACTGGGTAAGCGCTTTCTATAAAACTTAGTTAGATACGAGTTTCACTGAAACTATCTAAGATCATAATCACTCCCTCCCTTTTATAGATGAGGAATCAATGTGAAACTGGAAGAGTCTGAGGACCATGCTCAAGGCTAGTAACTAGCCAGTGGCAAGTGTCATGAAAAACTCCTTCTGGTGTTTCCAGTCCGTGTCCCTCCATCTTTTGCTGGACCATGGTATATCATGGTCCCTGGCTGTCAGCAGGTCTAAGTTTACTGGATGGATAGTTTTAAAATTAAATATTCAACGTTATTTCAAAAACCTCAAAACAGTAACAATTTGTGTCCTCCCAGAATATACCTATCAGTAGGAAAAATCTCTCCCCTGTAGGTTCAGTGGCAGTGAGGACTGGTAATTGATGAATTTATGGGTAAAAGGCAAATGGAAATCACTGGCTTGTGTCTATCTAGTATCTGGCTTTTAAAATGAGTGTAACTAATTTGCAAAATCATATTTAAAATTCTACGGTTTGGGGATCTGTGGTCAGGAGATGTAAATTAAATTAACTAGCAGCACTCAAGCCAAAGGAAACACTGATTTACTGCCCACTATTGCCTAGGTTCGCTGACAACTCCTGCAAGCTGGAATTCTCCTTTGAGGACTGGAGAAAAATACCCACTAATTGTCTTTTCTCATGGTCTCGGAGCCTTCAGGTAATACTTGGAAGACTAGACAGTGTTAGTTCCAAGTAGTCATTGACTAGATCCATTTCTTTAAAAAAAAAAAAAAATCAGATTCCAGAATGTAGTATTGGCCCATGTTGGACATTTGGAGTTCCCTCAGAACTGACCAGGGGACTGCTGGGAAGTTGGGGAGTGTCTGTACTAAAAAGCACTGTCTTCATCACTATAACCATAGTCAGAAAAATTATTTGATTTCTGCTGCCCTGGTGGTTGGCAAATGGGGATTCAAGAACCAGATCCAGCTAGCCATCTATATAAAGCTTTTGTGGAGCACAGCCCCACCCGGTCAGCTTCTATGTCGTCAGTGGTGGTAACAGCCGAGTTGAGATGATGTCTTTCTCACAAACCTGCAGTGGGCAGGCTCTTCAGTAGACACCCCTCCCTTCCTGTGCCTTCAGCAGTAGGTACTGTTCCTAGACAACCCTTTTGTATTCCTACATTGACCCTGGAATACATGATGGGGGGAAGAGGTAGGGAATGGCAGCATGGAATGAGCGTTCACGTGACGCTTCAGCACACAGTCATTTAGCTTCCTCTCAATTTGATCATTTCCATAACACTAAGAGCATGTTAACTAGTCACACTGCTATAAAAAGGTTTAAGGCACTGAAGACGCATGCGCTCACTCGCCCCTCAGGGAGGACCTCCTTTCGCAGATAAAGAGCCACAGCTGAGAAGACACAAAAGCTTGACGCAGGACAAGCAGTTAGGAAGTGGTGGAGCTTGGCCTACCTTCCTGTATACTGCCTCCCTACATGCATTGGCTTGTCAAAACTTTATACCTGGAGCTGTGGAAATGGCTCAGTGACTATAGAGGGACTGGCTGCTCTGGCAGAGAACCCAAGATGATATCACAGCACCCATGTCAGGTAGTTCTTAACTACCTGTGACTCCAGCTCCATGGGCTACAGTGCCCTCTACTGGCCTCAGCAGGTACCTGCACACACGTGCACATACACATATACACAGGAATAAAAACAAATTTTAAATCGTAACAAAAACAAAACCCTTGTCTCCTCTGTCCTAAGTGTAAGCCTTTGTTCTTAGCTCTATTTTATAGGTGGCAACAAAATTGAATGGCTATCTAAAAACCATATAGCTGAGAAGTGACAAAGATTAAAAAGAAACCGAAACTTAAGTTCTAATTACTTTACCACTGAGTTGGGTCCCCAGCTCATGAAAAAAAGGGTTTTTGATATGGTGCCCACATTGCCTTCTGGGATTGTGATAATGGAAGGGATTTTTCCATGCTACCAGACAATGGACAATCACATTCTTTTCCTGGCACTTCCTATGGTTCATATATATATATATATATATGTGTGTGTGTGTGTGTGTGTGGTGTGTGTGTGTCTCTCTGTGTGTGTTTGTGTATGTGTCTGTGTGTGTCTGTGTGTGTGTCTGTGTGTGTCTGTGTATGGATGGATGATGGATGGAAAAGGAGAAAAGTCAATAGAAAAGAGGGAACTTGAGTCAAGAATGGAGCTGAGGAAGATGGTCAAGTGAGGAATGAAGGGATGTTTATGTGCGTGCGTGTGCACACACACACACACACACACACACACACGAGTGCACGCATAGATGGATCTGCATCAACTCTCAAAAATCACCATTTGTAATCACGATAACGTTAACACAGTTTTCTTTATTCATATTCACTATTTCATTAACCTAGGATTCTTGACAGTTTAGACCTGCTTTAGAGGCTCTATCCTGCTTACTGTGGGGATGCTAAGCAGTATCCTCTCTACCCACTAGATACAGTAGCCTTCTTTTCCCCAGGGCCACATGCCTCCTCAGGGGTAAGCTCTCTGAAGATGGGAGCTCTCCCGTGTGCTGATGCAGGGTGTAGTGGCCATCATGTTTCTCATTTTCTTACTGATTTATAATCATGGTTGGTAATTGTGATATTTCCTGCTTTTTGATTTTCAGGACAATTTATTCTGCTATCGGCGTTGGCTTGGCATCTAATGGGTTTATAGTGGCCACTGTCGAACACAGGTATGTTCCAGTGTATGTCAAATACAAACCAACAAACAAAAAGAAAACCAATGTTAACAACCTGAACTAAACTTGTAACTGTTCTATAAGCACAAAAACCATGGGTGGGATTTTACATAGTGGGAACAGAAGGACAATGAACTACATTGTTGCGACCTTTAAAATAGATCAATGAACTAAGCTGCAGGTTTTCAGAGACATTATCTCAGTCCTTTAGTGTGGTTCTGGTTCTGCCTCTCCTCTCTGGGTGCCTGGGCGCTGCCAGCACACCAGCTCAGAGAGGCCAGGAAGTCTGGAATAGGTGGGGTCTGAGGTCTGCCTCTTCCCTCTGGGGCACCACTATATACCAGGCTTGGACCAGGGAGGGTGAAGGGGGGTTGAGAGGTTACAGAGGGAGAGGATCATAGTGTTATGGCCTCTTTAGATGAAGGCCTTCTCCAATGATCTTAACTTGGTCTTATTTCTTTACTGGGTGTGGGTTTGAACGCATACCCTTTATTCAGGGTGAACCAAGGGTTATATAGTTTGGGGGAAGGACATGAGACTATCCAGGGTGGAAGAAGGTCATTGGCTGAAAGCTAACGTACCGAGATGCCTCTTTAGCATGGAGAGACTTTCCAGGTGCTCTGCTATGTGACTGAATACTTGTGATCACCTGGTAGGGGTCTCCTGATTAGGTGCTCTGAGGCAGGCACAGAAACAGGGAGGAAGTTAATCCTTCCAGTCTCAAGATGAGATTCTAATATCAAATTTTGAGATTTCTAGGGTTTGGACATTCTCAACCTTACCTGTTCTGTGCCAGTTCCTCTGGTGGCATGGTTGGGGTACCCTACATTCTAGAATTTGTAACAATCCTATGAGATAGTTATTTTATTCATGTTACACAAGATCAAAATGCAGATATGAAGGTAATTTGTGTAAAGTCAGACAGCTACTAGGTGGCAATGCAGGAATTCGGTTTTAGAGAGCTGTTTTGTTTTGTTCCGTTCTGTTTTGTTATTTTTCATGGCACATGGAATTGGAAATAACACTGTACATATTAGATAAACACATTACCACTGAGCTGGGTCTCCAGCTCATGAGAATGACTTCTGAACACGGTCACAATGTTACCTTCTAAGAGTGGGTTAAATGAACGGGTTATTTATTTGCATGTCACTTGACAGTGGACAGTCAGATGTTTTCCCTGACCTCCTTGGAGTCCTCTTTTATATGTGGGGGGGGGAAGTAGAGAGGAAGAGAAAGGGAAGTCAACAGATGAAAGGAGAGTAGAATCAAGGATGTGTCTGAGGAAGACAGTCCTATGAGGAATAGGATGTAATTCAATCTCTGTGCCTTGTAGAGACAGGTCTGCATCAGCAAGTTACTATTTTGAAGACCAGGCTGCTGCAAAAGTGGAAAACAGGTCTTGGTTTTACCTGAGAAAGATGAAACAAGAAGAGTCGGAACGAATTCGGAAAGAGCAGGTATATTTCAGTGAGAGAAGGGGCATGGCGCCCTTTGAGCGCCAAGAAAATGGTAGCCTTTGTTAAAGCCATTAGCTCTTCTGCTTACCCTTAAAGACCTGTCAGAAGACTCTCTGACTGCTGACCATTCCTTTTACTGAGAGGGTTGTTTCAAAGAAAAACAAAGTTACTCTTGGAAATGACAATGGTATTCGGAGTCCTCTCTGTTAAAGTGTCTAGTTTTTTGACTCTCACAGCCAATAGAAAATAGATGAACATGCTTTCCTTTTTTTCTTCTTTAATGCAATCTTCTTTCATATATTACATCCAACCACAGTGTTCCCTCTCTCCACTCCTCACAGTCCCTCTTGCCACTTCCCCTCTCCATGAGATCCACTCCTCCTCCATTTTCCTTCAGAAAAGAGCAGGCCTCCCAAGGACATCAAATAAACACCACGAAAACAAGTTAAAATAAGACGACTAGGAACAAACCCTCAAGTCATTTACCTTAACATGATGAAAGAGACAAGGAAACCCAGTGGGAGGAAAAGAGTCTCTAGAGCAGGTAAAGGAATTAGAGACATGCCCACTCTCACAAAAACATACTAACAACTGTAACATACATACATATGTATATATGTATTTTATGGTTGTACATGTATATATACATGTACATACATATATGCATATATTATGTTTGTATATGTATACATATACACATATATGTATGTTATAGCTGTACATGTATATATGTATATATATATATACACACATACACACATATATATATGTATGTTATGGTTGTTAGCTTGATATGTGTGTGGATATATATATATACACATATACACATATATATGTGTATTAACACATATAGTTTTAGCTTGATGATATATATACATATATGCATGTATACACATATACACACATACATCTATATACATATACACACATATATACATACATGCATACATACATACAGATATCACATATATATCTATATACATATACACACATATACACATATACATCTATATACATATACACACATATATACATACATGCATACATACATACACATATACACATATACATCTATACACATATACACACATATACAGATATACATCTATACACATATACACACATATATACATACATGCATACATACATACATACATACATACATACATATCTTCTTCAGAGTTCCCTGAGTTCCAAAGGGAAGGATCTGATGGAAGTCTTCAATTTGAGCTCTGTCTCCTCCTAATGTTTGGCTGTGAGTCTCTGCATCTACTCCCATCAGCTGCCATAGGCACTCTCTCTGATGATGATTGGGCTATGTACAGGATGAATAGCTTTTCAACCCTGGAGGATTTATTAAAGGGATTTTTGAGAGATAACATACAGTGGCCTTCAATGTTTTGTTCAGCTGTGTTGGTATACACCTTTGATCCCAGAACTCAGAAAGCAGAAGCAGGCAGACTTCTGAGTGGGAGATCATCTTGGTCTACATAGTGAGTTCTAGGAAATCCAGAGCTACTTAATGAAACCCTGCCTCTTCCCTCTTCAAAAAGAAGCATGTAAGCCTTAAAATCCACTCTCTGTAAATGTTGGCTCCATCACTTGGTAGTGGGAAGGTCCTGGAAAGCAAATATTGTGATTTGATGTGCTATACAATAGTAAATAACAGTATCTGTCTCTTGTGGTCATTGGAATGATTTCTTGAGATACCAGTTACGGCTTTATCTTGGGTGTGTTAGATGTGGCAGGGTAGGTAGACCTACACACATTTCACTGACGTAGGCTACTGTGCCACTCTGAGGCTACATAGGCAGGAAACATTTATTGCTCAAAAGACTGTTTTACAGCTTAAGGGATATAGTTTTTGAGTCAACACACACACACACACACACACACACACACACACACACACACACACA